ATAAGCTCAACAGCTGCTGCACAAACTACTTTCTTAATGTGGAATCACTAAACCCACGGCCCTGGTGGCGTCGGGGCCTTGTTCCGGTCATTTCTGCCTCTGTGCATCCACCAGCTTATCTCTCTGTCTGTTCTGAGACTCCAGCCAATGAGGGATTTTCCAGACTCAAATCCACCAGAAAATCTTTTTGACTGTGATGAAAATGTTGAAAACATTCATTTCCTGTTCACGCCAAGCAGCCGTCGCCATGACGATGTCATAGTACCTGCAGCATCAATTATGACCAGTATGAACCATGACATCTCAGACTGAACGTCCTCTCACTACTTTCAGTGTGGTGATCATTCATTTAACAGCTTCTTTCTGAACGAGTGACTAGTGTGTCGGACCATCACACGTCAGCCCACGTCTGTGTTCTCTCAGGTCAAACTTCAGGGTCATGTGGCTCATTTTGGAATAAAATGACAAACATTTTAACAACCAAAGATGGTGGATATGAGTAAATCAGTCAGTCAACACACACAGGGCTGGATCAGGTGACCCTGAGCCTTCCCTTAGTTATGCTGCTATAGGCCTAGGCTGCTGGGGGGCTGAGTTTCTCTCCTCTCCTCTCTCTCCCTATGCTTCTATATGCCACCATTACACATCACTAACTTTGTGTCTCCTCTCTCCCGTAGTGTGTCCTCTCTCTCTCCCTGTACCTTTCTACAGGTTGCCCTGGCCCTGGAGCTCTACGTCTCTGATGAGCAGCCCCCAGCCACATCAACCTGATCAGTGTTTGATTGTTGTGTCTTGTTGCTTTTCTTCTTTTGTCTCTCCTTTATCCACTCACCCCAACCGGTCGAGGCAGAAGGCCGCCCACCAAGAGCCGGGGTCTGTCGGAGGTTTCTTCCGTTAAAGGGAGTTTTTCCTCCCCACTGTCACCAAGTGCTTGCTCAAGGGGGATTTGTTGGGTTTTCCCTATGTAATAATAGTGATAACAGTAAGGTCTAGACCTTAGTTTGTAAAGTGTCCTGAGATGACTTTTGTTGTGATTTGGCACTATACAAATAAAATTTGATTTGATTTGATTTGACACAGAGAGAGGCAGTTTCATGACCTGATGATCACATCTATACCTTCCTTTACATAGGTGAATCCTTGGCCTTGTCTTGAGTATAGATGTCCAAGCTACACTGGCAGCACCTTTGAGTTGTGGCACTTCCTTTAGTGCCGACACAGTACACGGCAGTTACATTAAAAGCCAAATGAAAGATAACAAAATCACAAAACAATCGCCATCTCAGGGCTCCACCTGAAAACAGAGCGTATGCCTGCCCAAACTAAATCTGGACTGTGCAGTGAAAGACTGAATAGAAACAGCATTTTGAGTGTCGACACATTTCAAAACAAACATGCTACACAGAGGAGGAGCAGGCGACTTACCTGTTGAACTCGTAGATGTCCTCGATGTTGCAGAACAGAGTGCTGACCTGCTCCGGCTTCAGTGGCAGAGCCCCACAGTCGATGATACAGCCCAGATAATCCTGCAGACACACAGGGACACTATGAGTCAAAACTACAGAGATGCTATTTTTAATTAGTTCATTTCTCTGTTAGAAAGTATGCTGGTCACTTTTGCTTTGCCACAACAAGCAGACTCATGTTCTCTGATTCTTTGTTGGTGGTTTATTTCAATCTTACTGCTCTGATTCTTTGTTGGTGGTTTATTTCACTCTTACTGCACCGACATTATGCCCCCGGTATCCTCCGTTACGAAAACACAGCCTCGATATTGAAGTTGGTTCGTTCTGCACATCAAGCTCACACAGGTGTTTCACTGATTAGACTCATGAAAATGTGTGCATGTCTAATCTGGATATGCCATGTTTAGAATTCACATGAAACACTGATGCACTGTGTTTGAAAACAGAGAAATGCTTTCATCATCATTTCTCATACAAAATCACAATGAACTCCAAACTGCAGCATCACACTCACACACTGGTTGTAGCCTCTGATCACAACATAATACCCTGCCCACACAGAAGCCAGAACATCACGTCCTGCTCCGAGGCTTATTTTCATTGAACCTCCTTGGGCCGGATGTGGACACACATACAAATCCAGGCTAAAACAATCAAACACAGACTTCATGAAATTAAAGATGTAGCTGATCAGTAATAGCATGACAACCGGTACATTTCCTAGAAATAAGGTGGAAACAGTGGCTTCCTGGAAGGAAGGAAATCAACTGATCAACAGTAATGTTTGCCAATTTTAAGAAGCGTTAACACATTCTCGGCGGATCGGTGCAGCTTCTGCAGTAATGCAGTCGATGTACCGGTCCGTCGTGGTGAAGAAGGAGCTGAGCTGTAAGGCGAAGCTCTCGATTTACTGGTCAATCTACGTTCCGACTCTCACCTATAGTCATAAGCTTTGGGTCATGACCGAAAGGGCAAGATCCCAGATACAGGTTTATGGATGGATGGATGGATGGATGGATGGATGGATGGATGGATGGATGGATGGATGGATGGATGGATGGATAACACATTCTCAAATATCATTAGACGCAGCATCCGGCCTCTCGTCATCTACAGGAGCACACTTGTCAGAGCAGAGTTCATGATGTGAACAGGAACCCAGAAACGATGAGCCAAGGCTCGCACCAGACAGGAAGTCAAGCAGGATATGACGAAGATCAAAAAAGGGGAAGCTCATAGTGCAAGAAGCAGAGAGAGTAAAGATGCTAATCACACACATCAGCCTGAGAGCTGACTGGTCCAGAGCTGCTGCTGTGACAGGCTGAGGTTCAGGGGGCCTGGGCAGTAGCTGCATATCAAGATTCAGATGCTTCACACCAAGTTCCTTCTCAGATAAATGCTTGCATCCATCAGCCTGTGTGTGCCGCAGCTGCAGGCTCCAGTTTCCACATTGCTCTGTTAATTCTGTGGTGTCAGCAGGTTTTTGGGCGCTGCCTTGTTAGTGTGACGTTACAGTAGTTTCTGTATCGCAGACTTGTTCCCTTTTTAATCACCTGACTGACAAAACAGCAAAGTTACAGGCAGTTACAAAACAAACAGCAGTTTTTAAATCACGTGCACAGACAGTGAGTTTCAGTCTCCTGTTGATGGAACACTGCGGAAAACATTTGGCATGTTGGACATTAGTATTTGAAGTCCAGTGCATGAATAGATTTGAGATGAATAAACTACTAACAAACAGTTTCCTGTAGCAGGGTCTGGACTGATCTCTGACCGTTACAGTGTCTGCTGTGTTTAAGGGGTTAAAGGGGGCGAGAGGGGCTGATGGGACCTGAAACATGGATGTTCACAGTATATGGTTCATTCAGGTCTGAGATCACACTTTAAACGAGGTTATTTCCTGTGGTGGCGAGTAATGAGAGTGGAGAGGAATCATGGACGAGAGACACCAGGACAAAGAGAGAGCGAGGCGAGCCAATAGATGGTGTGTTTTTAACTGAGACTGAATACCAGTGAATGCTCAAGGGAACATGGCAACCCAGAGCCTTCCTCCCATGGTCGTGGGCCATCTCCTGTTACCGTACCTGATTGGGCCACGCAGCTGGATGATGTCACCGTGTGGTGCAGTAAAAGTCAAACCAGAACCAACTTCTTTGCCGCACAAGGCTGAACGCAGTCACCCAGAGAAATGAATAGGGGGACTGTGTTTTCTTAACCATTTCAAACTCAGGCTGATCCATTCTCCATTCGCCGCTGGGAGGCCATTTTGCTCCGCCCACCAAGATGCAGCTTTTTAAATGGTCATGACTGAATGGAAACCAGTTACACCAAAGCTTTCTGGTTAAAATCATTTTGTGTTTACACTGCTGAATCTTGGTGCGTTTGGTTTGTCCACCTGTTTATTTTCCATGTGGATGCAAACAAAAGCTCTCTCGTTCTTTCTCTGTCTGTTTTTTAACTAAATCGGTCTAAAACTAGCACTGTGTGTGTGTGTGTGTGTGTGTGTGTGTGTGTCTAATGAGGCATATAATGAGAGGCCTTGGCCACATTCATCACCTTTTAAAGGCAACAGGAAACATACACTCCCCAGGGCATGGATGGAGGGAAAGTGAGGAAACCAAAAGAGATGAGTGAAAATGACAGAGTTCAAAAGAAGAAGAAGACAAGAGGAATGAGGAAGAGACAGAGCTGCTGGAGTCTGCTCAGGAAAACAGCAAACATGAAGAGA